CCTCCCTCCCTGATGAGTCGTTTGCCTCCATTGTGTGAGGGTGGTTGTATTGATTAGATGCAGAAGGGTGTGATCTAGACTGAAACTGTTTGGGGATTAGGTTCAGACATGCATTGTATGTACCAGAGAGGTGAAGCCCGAGTCCTCTTCCTCTATTTAAAGAGCAAGTCACACCCAAATCAAATTTTTTTGCTGATAAACTATATAAACGAGTGTCTAATTGTGCCGTATAATCAATAATTTGGCACTTCGGTGCATCTTAGGTAAAATTTAAATATTCTGCCTTAAACTGTCAGTGTTGATCTCTCTTCAGGTAAAAACGCTGCACTACATTCGAATTTAAATCTGCCATTGCTATTGGCTAAGAGGTACCCTATGACGTTAGCTGGGACCATTTGATGCCACAATGCCATTGTAATATTTTTTTATTAAATGCTGATTTCAGTTTGTTTAATTTGATGTCGAGAAACAGTGGAACATACATTTCTCCATTCTTGATTCAGTAATATTTGGGTGCCTGGTTGAAAGGTTTGGCGGACCATGTGGCCCATGGGCCACCATTTAAGGTTCACTGGTGTAGAGAGTTGTAAGAATTACATTTAGCATCAGTCTGAGTTTCATCATGGGTGGATAGCATGTGTGTACAATCTGATTTCTAGCAGCAAGACAGAAATAAAGGCAAAAACACTTACACATGAGGGATTTGTGATCACTCTATTCATTGCAGTTTTAGTTGTGTTTGAATCACATAAACATGTTTACATGGTCTTGTAGCCAAAGCGCTGATGCATCTTTAGAAAGCATTTCTTTGCATGGCAATTCTTAATGATATTTGGAGGACCTCAGGCCCAAAGAGTTGGGGGGCCGGGCGGAAAGGTCTGGCGGGTGAGATTTGGCCCGCGGGCCGCCAGTGGTGGACCACTGATCTTGGCCATCAACAACAAAAAGTGGGCGGGGCAAATGGTGCTGTCATAAACAGAAGAACTGGGAAAAAAAGGAAAAGAAAGAAGAAAGCCTTGCTGCTTCTTTCCCAAAGCTCTGCATATGTTTGGAGGCATTTACAACGCAGCGATTTCACCTCGACGAACAACTTCAGTTAATTTCACAAACACTGAATGAATAAATCAAGATTTGTCAAATGGTCAGCCTCATAAATCAAATGAAACATTTGAGCAACGTCAAAATAAACAATAATAAAAAGAGACGGACCAATATGGATTACCGAAAAACTAAAAGACTCACCTGACAGAGTTAGCCTTTCTCCCCTCTGCTTTCAAGAAAACCTTTAGATGATTAAACGGATAATTCACATACATCTTTAACCTGGAACGGAAAAACCAAAATCATTGTAAAGGAGAATCTTTAACAAAATGAACACAAAGCATTTGGTTAAACAGACATAACGTTTCTCAGGTTGTCCACAGCAAGGGTGAAAACACAGAATACCTAGTTACTGAGTGAAGCAATGATCCAAATGTAAAGATTTATTAAAGAACCAGATATTAACCTCCTCCTCATTAAGAGGGTTCATACACACTGGAAGGGGCTCTAATAGTGTCATTAGCGACAACCTGGTAGAGATTCTCTGACTAAATGGGGCCATTCAGAATAACAAAAATACCACAAAAATCTCAGAAAAATCTACCTTAGTTTTATTTTAAATTCATCATCATCAGTCATGGAAGATTAGCCTGAGAATGACCAAATTTCTCCATGTTGGTACAGTCTGGAAAAAAGCTTTGAGATGGTCATGCGATGGTCGTACCAGCCTTGTTGGGTCTACAATCTTGTCCCTGAGATCCTTGAAGAGCTCTTTGGTGTTGTCCTGGGTTAGACCACTCCTTTCCCAAAGGCCAGTATTGAGCAGAATCATAATTTACAGAAACTGGAGACCTAATTCTTTTTCGAACTTTTCTGTATTTTAAAGAGAAAGTGCAGTGGGAAAGCCTGCCGACCAAATGTTCTCTACAAAATGAACACCAACCGTCTTGCAGAATTCACTTACTTGACATTTATTTAAAGAGGAGTAACCCCATGAGATATGCCATCTCATTTTCACGATGGTCCTTTGTGTTAAATCAGCATTTTGTAAACATAAACGAGGGTTCTGAAAAACCACGAGAAACTGGGAACTAAAAAAAAAAAGATTTTTAAAATCAACATGGGTGTTTGGTGGAAGTTTAAAGACCCTGAATACAAGCTGTGACCTTAGTGTTTACTCTAAATTCCATTCCTTGTTTAGTCCGGTTTAATCCTCACAATTTCCTGGATAGCAATGTTTGGGGAAATGAGCATTAAATGCTTCATTGGGGGTTGAGCAGCAGTGACTCTACCTAACGTTTGAGAGTTTTAAAATAAGAGTTCAAAGTGTATCCTCACATTGTGGCGTTAGATCAATTTAATCTGTCTGATTAACAGAAACAGTTTTTCATCCTGTTTCTGTGTTCCTGCAGCTTCAGACTGCATTGCAGTGATATTCAGCTGATTGGTTCCACTGAACTGGAAAACGAAGTGCAGCTGAGCCGACTTATGGGGAGTCTAACTTCAATATGTAAAAAAGGTTTAAATTGTGCATTAAGAACAGAACAGATGTGATGCTGAGGATTTACTTGAATGTAAATTAGTTTTTAACTATTCTGTCATGCATTTACGCATTTTAAAAAGCCCAGAATACACACAGTTCTATTGATGTAAATGGTCTGTATTTGTATAGGCACCTTTTTAGGGTTCTACAACCCCCCAAGGTGCTTCATAACACAATCAGTCATCCACCCATTCACACACTGGACAGACGTCATGGTGCGTTTCTTTTACCTCGGAATATATACAACTGTACATAGCATCGATTTTAGATGCCCCCTTACAAGTTTGTCTCGTAAAATAAAGATGTTTCCACCAAAGCTATTATTGTTATTACAAGGAGCTGTTATATTGAGCCTCAAAGTTGAATTGAAAAAAAAAAACATTCTCTAACTTTGGGGGGTGTTCCAGTTCATTGGAAGTTGAAATTTCCGAGTATGGAATTAACTGGAATGAACCGGAGGGGGGGGGGGGGATAACTAATCTGAAAACACAGTAATATTTAACAATTTGTTTGTTTGCTTTATTTGTTCATTCGGGGCTGATTGTTGCTTTTTACGACTCAAGCTCTATAACTTTTTCTTTGGGCAAACAAGTCAGAAAATTCACAGAATTTGAGAAGTTAGGAACAGTGAACTTAGTTAAAAATTATTTTTATTGATGAACTAAAAAACAAACAAATTCATTTTTAAAACAAACTTTCCCAACACTGGCCGGGATCGAACCTACAACCTTCCAATTTCTAGGCGATCCGCTCTACCTTTTGAGCTACTGCTGTCCCACATAATGTATGAACTTTAATTTGGGAAGATGTAAAAAAATACATCTTGTGGAAAAGATCTTTGTTGTGGCACCATTTTGAGCTCAAAGATGACTTTTACTGGGTTACATAAACTTTAACGAATCACATACATTAAAAAGAAGAGGGTTAAACTCACTTTTGACGAGTTACAGGATCAGACTCCGTTGGGTGAATGTAAGCAGTCAAGATCTGGATCAATGATTTATCATCAGAGACGCTACGAGAAAAAACAAATGAGATCTGAAACATTTAAAAAATTAATTCTGGTCTAATAGTCAAAGCGAGTATAATCTGAGTCACCTGAGAGAGAATCCAAGGATTAGCATGAACTCTCATCTATATGCTAAATAACTCACCTCCTCTTACTAAACTCTGTGTTGCTTTGAGGAAAGATGAGCTTCAGATGCCACAGGAACCGTTTTTCCCTAAAAAAAAAAACAAATGCAGACGTCAATTTTTATTCAAAGAGTAACTAAACCCCGATTAACATTTTTTTGCTTATAAACTGCATAACTGGGTCTTTACAAATGTAATCTTTCTGTTTCTGTGCATTTTTTGACATGTTTGTGTAAACGTGATTAAATCCAGAATATAGGTATAGAAATGTCATAGTGCTGCCCCCTGCGGCAGAACAGTGGCTACTGCATTTTAAATTTGTGATTGACTGGGGCTGGTACAATTTCACGTCATCGGTACAGTCTCCTCCCATTCCCCCTCCCTCCCAGAATGGAAATTCCCCACACTTGGCCATGCCACTCTGCGCCTCCTGGCAACGCCCACTTTCATAGAATTTTTCAAATCTTGATTAGGGGTGGGGTTACATTTTCTGATTGTGTGCAGTCCCTCTTTAAACTTTAGAGAATAAGAATGTCTTCATACTCTTTTTCATGACATCATCTATGTGCAACAGTATCCCCCTTCACAACCCAACCCTAATTCCTTTGTTTTAATTTAAAGCATTAGACAGATTCAGCCAGTAATGTCAGAATCGTACAACTGGCTGCTTCCAAGATCTCATGACACAATTGAACTCAGCTTTATTTATAAAGCACATTAAAACAACCTGCATCACAAACTGCACAGAAACATCATAAAATCAACTATTAAAAACAAACAAACAAAACATAAGCAAATAAGTAGTACAATTAGCAAAAGGAAAAAGTAAATAAAAAATACTTAGCCTGAGCTAATAGCCAATATAATTAGCATATGTAAAATAATTTAATGATGATTTTCATCAAAAACAGCCAAGGAAATGCTACGTTACAAATGTTTAATTTGGGTTTGGGTTTATTGAACAAGAAACACACAAAAGACGATGTTGCATGTAAGGACAATGCAACCATTGTTTTGTACTGAGGTTTTCTAGTGTAGCCTCCAGGAATGGGACTGGTTTTTATTCACAGAACAAGACGGATGACCAATATGAGTAACTAATCGTATAATCATATAATGAAATGGACAATATGGTTAAATGAAATGTTTTGATTAATCTGTGCTTAAATTACTGAAGTTGAAATGAATATTATTATTACATAGAAAAATTAAGAAGGATGAAATGAAATATATGACCCATATATTTAATCAGCACACTGACTGAACAAGACACACTCGCCATATCTCAATGATGCAAGTTAGAATCAACGTCACTGCACATAGATATTTTCTTATCCACAAAATCAGCATTTTCATATCTGAGGGAGGTGTGTATCGGAATTTGTTGGCAAAACCCCTTTACAGGGAGAGTTCTGATTTATCATTAAACCAAAATATGGCCATTATTTAAACAGCATCACTTCCTGAGTAGTACAGTTGAGCCTAACTCTGACTGGCCATCAGAGGGAAACTGCTCCCATCGCATCTTTTGACTAGCTGTCAAATCCTGTTGCATGTTACAGCTGACCGTAAACGGTTCCTTCAGAATAAAGCTGAAGCAGCTCAGACTCCTTAAGTCTTCCATTGACGCAAATAACTACCTGTCGTGACCTGGAGACATCTCGAGACCGGTCTAGTCAGCACTGTGGTTTCTTCTACGGACTTTGGAACCTTTGAGGTCCCCGGACTTCAACACATTCCGGCTCTAACACGGGGGTCTCCGAGAGGGTACGTAGACTTGAAAGATTACGTCTGATGTGGTTTTATGAACCATCACTATAGTTTATAGCAGACCAAATTCACTCCCACTCAGAACTCCGTTTCTCCAGATACGAAGGTTCTGATAACATCACATTCACATCATCACACCACATTCCATCCGCTTAGATTCATTCATCACATAAAGTGTTCCTAGTTGTCATGCTTTTAATTGTTTAGAAAATAAATTTCTTACTTTTTATAAACTTGACTCTGTCTGAATTGATACAAAGTGTCTTACAATCCCTGAATAAACAAAGAATTCTAAATCTTCTGGTTAAAGAGCAAGTCACCCTCAAATCAACTTTTTTTGTGCTGATAAACTAAATAAACGAGTGTCTAATCGTGCTGCACACACGTGTAGTCAATAATTTGGCATTTCAGTGCATCTTAGTTAAAATTTAAATATTCTGCCTAAAACTGTCAGTGTTGTGCCATTGTCAGGTAAAAACGCTGCACTGTATTTGAATTTAAATCTGCCACTGCTATTGGTTAAGAGGTATGCTATGATGTAAACTGGTACATTATGATGTCACAATGCTGTCGTGAGTCTGTGTGTGTGTGTGTATTTGTTAGCGGCTCCGCCCTCTCGGTCTGCCAGGCAATGGCATTTGTTGCATTTTTCAAACATGAAGTGGGAGTGGAGTTAGACTCTGGTAGGGGGTGACTTGCTCTTTAACATTCAAAGATCAATCAGATTGGATTTCCATATTTACAGTATATTCAAAGATACTTTAATAATCCCAGAGGGAAATGAGAGAGATATAGAAATTCATATCTTGTTGGTCAAATGTAGTGTAGTATATTGAGCTTTATAAGCACCCAAAATACATACGTATGCTACTCCTCCTACACTAGCCAGAGACTAATTTGTGATTTAAAACAACAAGATGCAACCAACAAATCAGTCTTATTGCTCTACTGAACTATGTGAGATTACACAATAAATTGTACTAGGCTAAAGGAATACTAACACCCAGATAAAACAAGACAACACAGAAAAGTGTCACTGCCCTAGGGGGGTGCAACTGCAACACTTCTGATTCATCACTGTGCAAGCTAAATTGTTTGATCAGCCAAAACCACAAAATGTCCCATAAATATAGTGGAATTGGTTCATCAACACCCCTTTCTTCCTTTTAGCAAAGTAGAAGAAATGAGGCCTTGGTGAATGAGATGAAGATGAAGGTCAAGCATGAGCTCAGAGAGCAGATCCAAGAGGCCCTGTTGTTATAGCTTCAGTGCTCAACAAAACAGGTTCAGAGCTTAACTAGGAAATGCCTTTTGATATGCTCAATATGCCAATTTCAAGGCCATTTTACATCTCTATAAACAGACTTCTGTCATTACCTTGGAGAAATAACATAACCTAAGTTGGGAGAAAAAGAAAGCTCCTTTGCTGAAAACAAGTTAAAACTCACAGGAAAAAATGATCTGCAGATAAAGGAACTTGGTGAGTGGCATTCCTTTAAGGAATGTACATCTTTCGACACCTCTCTTGATGCTTTATGCTAAAGAAAAATAGAATTTAGCTGTTTTGATTTAAAAAATAAGACGACTGCGACTGTCAGCATTCAGACGGAATATGAGCCTGGGATGCCTCTCAGCTTCTACCACATCACACACAAACTGAATATCTGTAGAGTTATTCTTGTGTTTAAGGTTGATTACATACATCAGAAGTTATTTAGTAGTAGATTGGGGCACATAAATTTGGTATCAGTTTATGGCAACAACAGCAAGGTTTGGGAACATGCACTCCACTTTCACTGTACATCAGTGCATGAGGACCAGGGTCCTCATTTATTCAAACATATTTATGCACAGATTTGTGTGACTTTTGTGCGTAGAAAAAAATCTAAGCGTTGTGTGGTATTTATCGTTTTGTACTTGTTCTTACATTTAGGAATGTTTCTACGCACATTTCTGACCGTGCGTACGCACAGCATCTGGTGGCAGAAACCCACCCTACCCCCTGCCTTCGGATTGGTGGTCTAGCCTAGCAAGGTCACCAACGGATGTAGTCAATGTGCTCGTCACTCCCTTGATCTCCCTCCCACCTTGCGTACAACAGTGATCGAGCGCATTCACTGAGGCTGTGGCTCTCTCTGGGGGAGAACAAAGCTACCTCTGTTGAAAGTACCTCTGAAATGTGCCCCACACCTCCACCACCTGTTATGCTTAAGACAGAGCTGACCCAGCAGACAAAGTTCTCAATTTACTGGTCGATCTACGTTCCTACCCTCATCTATGGTCATGAGCTTTGAGTAGTGACCAAAAGAACGAGATTGCAGATACAAGTGGCCGACATGAGATTTCTCCGTCTGTTAGAGATAGGGTGAGAAGCTTTGTCATCCGGGAGGGGCATGAAGTAGACCCGCTGCTCCTTCACATCAAGAGAAATCAGTTGAGGTGGCTCGTACATCTGATTAGGATGCCTCCCCTGTGAGGTTTTCTGGACACACCCAACCACGAGGAGACCTAAAGGTTGGTTTATGCTTGACGCGTCCGCGAGGTCCGCACGGCTCCGCGCGGAAAAGTTGCGTCATTTTGCGTCATTTTAACAACCACGCCCCTCCACCGCGTCTCCGCAAGGCCCAAGATTTCCGCAACGCACACCTCGGAAAATTTCTAACCACGCGGACGGTCGGACGCGGAAAAACATGGCGGACCGGCACGGCAGAGGTTCGTAAATACAGACATTTGTATGATTCAGCTCTCTGAGATCACCGTGATGAACATGTTGTTAATAATTCTTGGAGAGAAATGGCTCGCACTGTCGGAAAAGACGAGAACGCTTTTAAAAATGCTGAAATACCATGTTGTAAACAACAGTAATTTCTACTTCTACTATGGTGTAGTGTTGGATGCATGCTGTAGAGCTCCATGCTGCCCCGTTCAGTTTGGGAGAATATTGGCTCACCGCAGAGACGAGCCGCACAAACCATAAACGCTGCGAGTTGTGAAGCGCGTTCCAGCCGCGAGCTGCATCACCGCGCGGAAAGTGAATGCGTCAAGCATAAACCAAGCTTAAGTAAAGACCCAGGACACGCTGGAGGTACTATGGCCGAATCCCAGTACGCACACTTCCACTTTCGCGCCTTTAAATTACGCAATCCCAACCAGGGGTGCGAGTGTGTAGGGTGTCCCGATTCTCAAGTGTGGAGGTTGATCACGCCCCCTTTATGCCCTTGATCTGCACTTTACCCACAATCCATTGCTGTTGGAGATAAGGCTCAAGTTCCTTTTCTGAAATATGTATTTTCTAAAGAAATTAGTTTGTTTTAGGATG